TAAAATAATAATAATAATAATAATAATTAAATCAACAGTTATTATTATTGTTGCTGTTGTTATTGTTGTTAATAATAATAATAATAATAATAATAATAATAATAATAATAATCATAATCATCATAATAAATGGTTATATAAAAATTTATTTAATACAACTATTAATATTTATAATAAAAATAATAATAATGACAGTAATAATAATAATAAATGATTATATTAAAATAAAAAGGTTTAACAATAAAACTATTATTTAAAAAAATAATAATAATTAAAACAACAATTACTATCATCATCATCATCATCATCATCATAATCATCATCAACAACAACGTTAATAACTTAATTGTAACTATAATATAATACGACAACTTAAACATTTATAAAAATATTAATTAATAATTAACTAAATTAAAAATATTTAAATAGTAAATAAAAACTAACAAATAATAATAATTATACAATAAAACAAAAATGTAAAAAAAATTATCAAAGCTTTTCAAATATTAATCACATTGATAATGATTAAATGATACTAAAAATGATTATTCTTAATATTTTTGAACAACATTATGAACATACAAATAATAAAAACATTAATTTTCTTTTACTATAATAATAATAATAATAATAATATGAATAATAATTATAATAATACAATTATTATTATTGTTATTACAATTATTGACAAAAGGGATTATAAATGATAATTCAAAATAACAAAAAAGACTTCCAATTAATAAATGACACACGGTAAACTTTCGTCTCATATGCACCAACACAGTTACAGTACGAAATGGTGAAGACAGTAAAAGTCTGCATCAGCCACTGTTCAGACGGCTGCTTCCTACAGAGAGATGCTGAAAATTTAATACCATCTTCATGAGCGAGTTTGACAGTGATTGCAGCTAATGATTCCCTGACTGTGAGACGCCCATGGCACACCAGCAGATTCATAGCAGACAACTTGCACTCATGGGTCTTTCAGCAACATTTGGGAGGAGGAATGGAGAAAGCACAATAAACAGAAATGATGCTCAATGAATCAAATATTGCCACCTTCACAAAAAGGATGTTTCACCCATGAGTCAGTTATATTAAACTCAACCAAGGCCCACGCAGTAACACTGGCCATACATGATTCAGCCTCACTCGCTCACAGGGATTTCACCAGTTTACAGATGCTAAAAGGAATACATATAATCCAATCTTAATGGGAAGGGTCATGCTGGATTAGTGATATAGTGTTAGTAATAATTAAACACCTTAATAAAAACAGACTATAGATACATTGTGCATGCTAATGAGAAAGGGGAAAAATAAGAAGCAGAACAGACACATTTTCCAATATATTCTGACTGAATCTGTAATTGAGGTAGATGAGACCTATATTAGGGTCTAACTAGAGATATGCATGTCTAAAATATATATATATATATATATATATATATATATATATATATATATATATATATATATATATATATATATATATATATATATATATATATATATATATATATATATATATATATATATATATATATATATATATATATATATATATATATATATATATATATATATATATATATATATATATATATATATATATATATATATATATATATATATAGATATATATATATATA